AAAAATGACCAGCTAGCTGGGACCCTGGGAAACCCAATATCAAAGAGCCCTCATTCTGGGAGTGGGAGTCCACGGCCCCTGCCTTGGGTGGAGTCGGGGACTGTTTCCTGACCCAGCACCCACCCCTTCCAGCGCCCTGGTCCTGGCCTTCCGAGGAGCCCACCGGAAGCAGGAAGAGCAATGCCGGAAGTTGGAGCAGCAGATGGCACTCTTGGAGGCTCAGCAGGCCGAGGAGGTGGCGGTGCTGGAAGCCACTGCAAGGGCCCTGGGGAAGCCCAGGCCTTCCCTCCCACCACCCCAGCTGGGGGAGACCTTTCTGTAGCCCCTTCCCCAGCCATGTCTGGATGTGCCAGACAGCTGCGGCATGTCATAAACTGTCCTGGAGTGACATCATGTCATGTTGTATGATTTGGCGTGTTGGGCACATTTGATGTGAGGGAGGCTGGTGCTCATGGGTGTCCAGGGCCTGATGGGGCGAGGCCAGGCACTGCAGAAAGACTGGGGTGTCTTTGGTCTGGCACCATGTGGAATGTGAACTTCACATGTCAGTGGGGTCAGGCCAGAAGCAATCTGTGCTGTGGGAGCAGGTCCCCGGGACTGGCACAGTTTGGGGGTCTGTGAGGTTGCATAGCCACAGCTGAAGCTCCAACTGTCCTCTGTCTCCAGAAACTCTCAGGGAGCGATTCATGGGACTGGACACAGCCTCTCCTGGCATCCCCTTCCCAGGGAGAAGCTGGGTTTGGCTGGCAGATTTTCACAAAGGGAGCCGGGCATGGTGGTGCATGCTTGTAATCCCAGCACTTTGGGAGGCCAAGGTGGGTGGGTCAATTGAGCCCAGGAGTTCAAGACCAGTCTGGGCAACATGGCAAAATCCATTTCTTTTTTTTTTTCTTTTTTTGAGACAGAGCCTTGCTCTGTTGCCCAGGCTGGAGTGCAGTGGCGAGATCTTGGCTCACTGCAACCTCCATCTCCCAGGTTCAAGCGATTCTCCTGTCTCAGCCTCCTGAGTAGCTGGGATTACAAGTGTCTGCCACCACACCCGGCTAATTTTTGTATTTTTAGTAGAGACAGGGTTTCACCATGTTGTTCAGGCTGGTCTCGAACGCCTGACCTTGTGATCTGCCCACCTCGGCCTCCCAGAGTGGTGGGATTACAGGCATGCACCACCGTGCCCAGACTGAAAACCCCATTTCTACAAAAAAAATACAAAAATTAGCCAGGCATGGTGGCAAGTGCCCATAAAGCTACTTAGGAGGCTAAAGTGGGAGGATCACTTGAGCTTGGGAAGCGGAGGTTGCAGTGAGCTGAGATCATGCCATTGTACTCCAGCCTGGGTGACAGAGCAAGAGCCTGTCTCAAAAAAACAAAACAGTCCAGGCACAGTGACTCATGCCTGTAATCCCAGCACTTTGGGAGGCTGAGGCAGACTGATCACCGGAGGTCAGGAGTTTGAGACCAGCTTAGCCAACATGGTGAAACCCCCGTCTCTACTAAAAATACAAACATTAGCTAGGTGTGGTGGCGTGTGCCTGTAGTCTCAGCTACTCAGGAGGCTGAGGCAGAATAATTGCTTGAACTCAGGAGGTGGAGGTTGTAGTGAACCAAGATCAGGCCACTGCACTCCATCCTAG